TGAGAAAAAGGATGGTCTTGTGGCTTAAAAAAAACCAGGCTGTGCGGCAGGACACTGGGTTGAATTCTCAGGTCTGCCACAACTTTCCTGTGTGACCTTGGCAAGCTCACTTAATCTCTCTATCTCTTCATTCTCCAACTGTAAAAGGAAGTTTCTTTCTCCCACTCTCTGTCTAGCCTGCTTAGATGGTAAAATCTTTGGGGCAGAAACTCTCTCTTACTACTGCATGTTTAGTGCCTAGCATGAGGTCCACTCGGTGCTTCTAGGTGCTACTGAAATACAAACAGTAAGTAGTTTGTTTTTTTGGTTTTTTTTTTTTTACTAAAATCCTTTGGTCTGTTACTAGTTAACACCTCTGATTGTTAACGCTGAAGTAATATTAAAACATCTCTCTACTCTTCACTATGGCAGTAGTTTACTTTTTGTTCAGCATGACAAGGTAACAGACTGGTTGGATTATCTGGCTTCTGACTGGTTTCACCTTCATGGTCTCAGATTAGATCAATGCTGCTTTGTTGGGCCCTAAAATCTCTTACCAGCATATTTTACATTAATTTTTTAATTGAAGCTTTAAAACAAGTAACATTTGTTTTGTTTAGTGTATTTTATTTAACAGATCTAAGTCACGAAATTCTTCCCTCAGCTATTCACCCATTCACTTCTGTCTACTGCCAGGGAAGTTGTATGCAAATATCTTGGGCCAAAACTTGACCCCAAATTTGGAACTGTAAAGCTATGCATGCTGTGACGAAGTGGAGGGTTTTCTTGTTTTCTGTGGAGTTTCAATGGTTTGCATGCGGAGGGGGTGGGACTCAGTTTCCCTGGGTGTTACTGGTTTAACGAGGTGAGGGGAGAGGGAGTTTGTTGTTACAGAGGACCGGAGAGGGAACTTGGGACCCCAACCAATGGCCGGGAGGATGGATACCGCAGCGACCGGTGACCTGGCGACCCGGAGGCCCAGCTGAGGAGACACAGCCGGTTCTGGCCAGAGGGCGGACAATGGGCTGCAGAGTGAGGACTCAGTGACCTAATCAGCCGGTTCCAGCCAGAGGACAGAAGCGAGGAGAGGAGGCCCCAGTTTACAACCCTGTTTACCTGGAGAGAAGACAATGGACAGAGATGGGGCCTGGGGCCAGTGATCTCAGATGCCCAGCTGGGAAGCAGGGGGGCTCTGGGCTGGAGAGGCGGAGCAGGCAGAGCCCACCTGGATGCAGAGAGACTGGGATGTGCTGGGCTGAGGGAGGCCAGGCCTGAGGCCCTGAGAGTTTCCTGTGCTGTGTTCAACTCTCAATAAACCCTCCTGTTTTATGCTGGCTGAGAGTCACTCCAGTCTAGAGAACAGGGTTGCATCAACCCCTTCGGGGGTGGAGGCCCCCGCGGTCCAGAGCGAGTGGACTCCCTGAGGGGGCCCACAGCAGAGACAGATGTGCTAAGGCTCCAGGAGGTGGAGGGGCCTGACCCCGAGAGAGCGTGGACCCCCGAGAAGGGCTGTCGCACTGAAAGGGGCACCCCCCACGGACCGCATGGGGCCACGAGTGGGCACGATCTGTGAGTCCGTGACACATGCTCATAAGAACAAGGCTGTATACTTAACTTGAAGCATGCAAAAAAAAAATATATATATATATATATATATATATATATATATATATATATATA